ATGCCATGGCACTGTACCCAGGGGGACAGCTTGAGGCTCTGTCTCAAAAAAAAAAAAACAAAACCAGCCCCAGCCAAACTGCAACAACAAAAAATAGCCGGGCATTGTGGCTGGTGCCTGTAGTCCCAGCTACTCAGGAGGCTGAGGCAAGAGAATCCTAAGCCCAGGAGCTGGAGGTTGCTGTGAGCTGTGACTCCACAGGACTCTACCGAGGGCAACAAAGTGAGACTATGTCTCTTAAAAAAAAAAAAAATTTCAATTAAGAGGAATGAGTCCAAGAGATGTACAATTTGGTAACTTTAGTCTATAATGTATTATATACTTGAAATTCACTTAAAGTAGTTGTTTTTTTTTTTTTTTTTTTTCCTGAGACAGAGTCTCACAGTCTGTTGCCCAACCTACAATGTTATGGTGTCAGCCTCACTCACAGCAACCTCAAACTCCTGGGATCAAGTGATCCTCCTGCCTCAGCCTTCTGAGTAGCTAGGACTACAAGTGCCTACCACGATGCCCAGGTAATTTCTATTTTTGGTGGAGATGGGGGTCTCACTCTTCCTTGAGCTGTTCTGCAACTCCTGAGCTTAAGGAATCCTCCAGCCTCATCCTTCCAGAATGCTGGGATTACAGGTGTGAGCCACCATGCCCAGACCAAGAATAGATTTTAACAGGTTTAACCACAAATAAATGATGACTACATTAGGTGATGTGTATATTAATTTGCTTGATTTAGTCATTCCACAACGTATATATACTTCAAAACATTACATTGTATACCATAAATATTTTAACAATTGTTTTTTTTTTTTTTGAGACAGAATCTTGCTCTGTTGCCCCAGATGGAGTGTAGTGGTATCATCATAGCTCATGCAACCTCCAAATGCTGGGCTCAAGTGATCCTCCTGCTTCAGCCTCCCTCCTGCGTAGATGTGACTACAGGCCTACACTACCACACCCAGCTAATTTTTCTATTTGTTGTGGAGATGGGGTCTTATTCTTGCTAAGGCTGGTTTAGAACTCATGGCCTCCAGCAATCCTCCCACCTCAGCCTCCCTAAGTGCTAGGATTATAGGTATGAGCCATAGCACCTGGCCAAATATACTATACAATTTTTGTTAATTAAAAGTAGAGTGCGGGAAGGGAAATAGAATGTAGTTTCCAAACATCTTGCAGAGTTGTCAGATACACTAGTGAAACAATCATCTTTGAGACTCAAACTATTTGGAAGACTGGCTATAAGCCTCCCACTGACCTGGCACTGCCTAGGTGAGCCCAACCCTCAAAACCATGTTTTGTTGTCCAAAGCCACTGAATTTGGGGATGGTTTGTTATTATGACTAATAAACGATAGATAACTGAATCAGAGACTCTACTAAAAACGGACCACAGGGAACAGGGGAACAGGGTAAAACCAGTTAGGAGGCAATTTTATTCATCCAAGTGCTTTCTGTGCCTCTTGTTGAAGGATTGCACTGCTCTTAAGATAAAGATCCAAAGTCCTCAACCTCAAGCTCTTGGGCTTAAGCGATTCTCTTGCCTCAGCGCCCCAAGTAGCTAGGACAATAGGCCCCCACCACAACGCCCAGCTGTTTTTAGTCAACTTTTTCCTTACATCTGACCCAAATTACCCTGCCCATCAACTTCATTCTGGCTTACCTAAATTGAGTGGTCCTCTCTTACCTGCAGGGGATACATTCCACAACTAGCCTGAAACCAGATGGTACCAGACCCTAAGTGGTTTACATCCCAGTGGGACAGAGCAATATGGCAGATCTCATCATACCATTCAAAACAGCATGCATTTTGGGTAGTGCCTGTGGCTCAGTGGCCACAGCGCCAGTCCTACTTACCAAGGGTGGCAGGTTTGAACCCAGCCCCCGCCAAACTGCAACAAACAGCCAGGCATTGTGGTCGCCCGTAGTCCCAGCTCCTCTGGAGTTAGAGGTTGCTGCAAGCTGATGCCATAGCACTCTACTGAAAGCGACAAAGTGAAACTCTCAAAAAAACAATATGCACTTTAAAACCTATGAATTGGCTCGGCGCCTATAGCTCAACCGGCTAAGGCGCCAGCCACGTACACCTAAGGTGGCGGGTTCGAATCCCCAGCCCGGACCCGCCAAACAACAATGACGGCTGCAACCAAAAAAATAGCCGGGCGTTGTGGCGGGCGCCTGTGGTCCCAGCTACTTGGGAGGCAGAGGCAAGAGACTCGCTTAAGCCCAGGAGTTGGAGGTTGCTGTGAGTTGTAATGCCACAGCACTCTACCCAGGGGTACAGCTTGAGGCTCTGTCTCAAAAAAAAAAAAAAAAAAAAAAAACCTATGAATTACTCCTGAATTTTTCTAATGTTTGAGACTATCGCCAACCACAGCTGGAAATAAGGGAGAGACTACTGTATTACTAGGTAATATGTAATTCTGACTGCTTGTGAAGCAATGTGTGACTACCACCGTTTCTTTTATTTACCAACGTTGGATACAAAATGCTTGAAGTTTAATCAAGGTGAGATGTACGGGCAGTAATCACTAAGTAACAGTAACTGAGCAAAAATTAGAGTGAAGGCAATCTTAAAATATTAAGTGCTCAAATCAGTTGAGTTCGCAGAACAAAAAATGGCTGGCACCGGTAGCCCTGTGGCACCAGCCACATACACTGAAGTTGGCGGGTTCGAACCTGGCCCAGGCCAGCTCAACAACTGCAAGAAAACACAGCCGGGCATTGTGGTGGGCGCTGGTAGTCCCAGCCATCTGGGAGGCTAAGGCAAGAGAATCCCTTAAAGAGTTTAAAACATGATCAAAAATAGGGTTCTAGGGTGGGTGTAGTGGCTTACGCCATCAAGACCAGCCTGAGCCAGACTGAGACCCCAGCTCTACCAAAAAAGAAAGATAAGTCACATGTTGTGGCAGGCAACTGTAGTCCCCAGCTACTTGGGAGGCTGAGGCAAGAGAATCACTTAAACCCAAGAGTTTGAGGTTGCTGTGAGCTATGATACCACTGCACTCTACCTAGGACTACAAGTGAGACTCTGTCTCAATAAATAAACAAAAGAAAATTAATACGGTTCGGGGCCAGGCACAGTGGTCACGCCCATAATCACAGCACTCTAGAAGGCCAAAGCAAGAAGATCCTTTGAGCCCTGTTACTGAAAAAGGAAAAAAATTACGTGGGCATTGTGGTGGGTGCCTATAGTCCCAGCTACTCAGGAGACTGAGGCAGGAGGATTGCTTGAACCCAGCAGTTTGAGGTTGCTGTGATGCCATGGCACTGTACCCTGAGCAACAAAGACTGCTCAAAAATGAAAGAAATAGGGTTCCAAACTATCATCTGGTTCTTTGCCTATAACACAAAGCCACCTTTTTTAATGTTACTTGAAAGAGTTGAAGATGGATGAGCAAAGTTCTAGTAAAGAGTATTACTTAAAAACAAAACCAAAAGGCAGGCTGGCATGTTGGCTCACATCTTTAATTCTAGCACTCAGGGAAGTTGAAGTAGGTGGATCTACCTGAGCAAGAGGGCCAACTGAGGCAAGAGGATCCTTAAGCTGAGTTTGAGGGTGCTATGAGTTATAATGCTAAGGCACTCTACCCAGGATGACAGAGGCTCTGTCTCAAAGAAAAAAACCAAAAGGGCCAGCATCCTAGCTATCTGGGAGGCTGAGGCAGGTGGACTGTTTGAGGTCACGAGGTCAAGACCAGCCTGAGCAAAAACAAGAACCATCTCTACTAAAAGCAGAAAAACTAAAACAAGATGGCAGCCTGATCCTGAGTTACAGGTTGCTGTGAACTTGAGATGTCTCAAAAACCAAACCAAACAACCCACAAAACACAAAAGGACAATTAGGATAATGTCTTTATTAATGACAAATTTGTTGTTCATTCTTCCTTAAGACTCCTCCTTACTGGTTTTCTGGACACAGCTCACCTGATCCTGTCAAATTAAAGGACATAATTACTCCAAGGAACATAGATCAGGGTCATCCTCAAATTCACAAACAGAACAAATGGTATTTATCAGTATCAACCAAGTGAACTTCCTAAGAAACCTTATCAAGGAATGTGATGTTAAAAAGTAATGGATTCACACACTTTATTGTTAACTTTTGTACCACCCAAGAACCCTGACCACTGAAGAATCATTCAACTTACCTAGATACTTTGTCAGTCTAACAACTTGAAGATTTTCTTCTTGGCTCATGCTGTCTGATGTCTTGAAAATAACTATCCACCTATAATTGAAAACATTCAGCATTTCAATAGTTTGTACTTTTCTTGGCATTAGTTCCAATCAACTATTTATTTTTGCCTTGTTAATGCTTAAAAACCTGGTCCACACCAAGGTTATACTTACATTTTTCTTCACATATACTCATGTAATTTTCCCTCCTCCCACCACTAACTAGAGTTACTCCTCTACCATTTACAGCTTTAAGTAAAAAAGAATCATGGAGATTTTGAATGGGTATAAAATTTAGTGTACTAAAAATACATTCTCCATTAATTCAAGTTTTCTGTTCTGTGATTATTAGATAATCAGCATTTTTTTTAAATGTTCATGTTGGCTCGGCGCCTATAGCTCAACCGGC